GATGGATGGATGGATGGATGGAAGGATAGGTGGATGCATGGATGCACAGATGGCTGTTGGACAGATGGGAGCTGCTGAGCCAAGCTGGGATTTCCGTCCCCATTTCCTGCTCCAAGCCCAGAGCCAGGAGTCTGGAACGGCCTCATCTGGTTCCAATTTCAGGAGGAACAAAGGGAGCGGGGCCATGTGGCTCCCATCAGGGAGAGGCTTTGCAGGTCACGTAGGGAGAATCCCACCCTCGGGAGCGGGGATGGGCTGGGGAGTGCCAGGCTCTCCTCATTTCTTGGGCAGCCTTGATACTTCTGGTGTAAAAACACCAAAAGGCAAATGAGAGTGATTCCCTATGTTTCTTCCCGCACACCTCAATCCTTGGCATTTTTCCTTGCCTTCCCATCAGTTCTGGTGACCTGTCTCATATTTTTGGGCTGTGCAATTACCAAATCCCTGAGGGTTTGTTCTGCTGGATCACAAATTCCAGTGAACTGCTGGTGACGGGCTGTTGGAATCCAGGATGGCAGAGCTGGGGGGCAAAGGCTGAATATTCCCAGAGGTTTGGGAAGCACGTGGGGTGCTGGTGACCGGCAGGATGCATCCAGTGGCTGCTGGGGACAGCTGGAACAGATCCAGCCAGACACAGCTCAGACACTGAAAAGCTCAACTCCCCCTGCCCTTCCTGAGCTGCTGGATTCTCCCTCCTGGTGGGAGAAGGGATGTGGGGACAAAATGCGAGTCAGGTCCCAAATTCCTCTGTCTGATTGTTCAAGCTCCAAGCTGCAGTGAAAACAAAGAAACCCGGAGCTGTTTTCGGGAGGTAAAATGCTCCGGGAGAGACAGGGACCCTTCAAGGCCTTGATTTGAAACTGAAGCTCGAACCTGGCTCGTTACATCTTGAAACATCCGATGCGATCTCGCAGATCAAAGACGCCTTGTTTGCCTTGTAATGAGGTGTCAAAGCGTTTCCTTGCAACGCCGACAGGAGACACTTTGATCTGCAAAACAAGATGTTTAAGAGTGCTGCTAGCGAGGGCTCCCCGTGTTTTCGCAGCTCTGGGAGGCAGGGGAATATTTGAAGTCTGGTGTTGTTTCCTCTGGAGGCTTCCCAAGCTGTGGCAGCTGATGAGGTGTTGCTGTCACACCGGAGCCAGGACTCACAGGAAAATCATGGAGCCTGAACAGCAGCCAGATGGAGAACCAAGCCAAGCATTTTTCTTACAGCTTCCAAAAGGAATTGCTGGGTTTTCCCCCATAAAAGGCTTCTTTGTCCATGGGAAATGCTGGAGTTGGTGTGAGCTCACTCTGAGTTGTTTGGGGGAAAATGCTGCGATTCTGGGTGGTTCAGCTGAAAGCTGTTTGTGCTGCTGCTGCCTTTGCTTGGCTTTCCCCATGCTTTGTACCACCAGGGGTGGCTGGGGTGTCACTGGGTGGGACTGGAGTCACTCACGAGTCCCTCTGGTCACAGGCTCAGCGCTGGCGCAATGAGAACTTCGAGCGGCCCGTGGACCTGGAGGGCTCCGGGGACGACGATCCCTTTGGGGAGGATGAGCTGGACGACATCTACTCTGGTTCTGGCTCGGGGTGTGAGTACTGGGAAATGTCCCTGGATGGCTGGGGGGTTCCTGGGATTCCTGGGAAGGGTTCTTGGCCAGCTTGGTCCCTGGATGGTTGGGGAGTTCCTGGGAAGGAACTGGCTGTGGGAATGTGGAGCTCCTGGTGAGGGTCCCTGGCTGGCTGTAGAGTTGGGGAGTTCCTAGTGAGGGTCCTTGGCTGGCTGTGGGAATGAGGAGTTCCTGGGAAGACCCTTGGCCGGCTGTGGAGTTGGGCAGTTCATGGGAAGGTCTTTGGCTGGCTATGGTTTTGGGAAGCTCTGGAGAAGGGTGTCTGGCTGACTGTGAGGTTGGAAGGCTGAAGAGGGGATGTGAGGGAGGGAATTGCCCTTTATACAGCACTGGAATTGTCCTCTGAGACAAAAGAAATGGGAACTGTCCCAGAAGTTGGGCTCCATGTCCCAGTTCACCCTCTGGCCCTACCGGGCAGGACTGGCCCCTCACAGACCCCAGAGAGGGCTTTGGCCACCACATGGGCACAGCCCTTGGTTTCTGCCAAGTCTGGAACCATCCGTGCTCTCGGATTTTGGGGGTGATGCCATGGAAATGCATCAGCAGCAGCTTCACTCCTCCCTCTTGTCCCCGTTTCAGATTTCGAGCCAGAGCCGGGGCTGGACACGGCCGTGAGCCTGACCACGGACACGCTGGTGACAC